CCCAAGGTGGCCCCCAGTAGAGGTGCAGGAGAGCTCTACCCACCTCGCCAAGCCGAGGGCTCAGCAGAAAAAGGCGATGCTGAAGAGCAGAGCTGATGCCAGGCACGTGTGCTCACTCCTTGCACGCAGCCACGAGCCTGGAGCTTGCTCTGGCTTGAAAGCCCTTTCCCAAACCCAAGCCTTCTGCTTCATATTAAAAACATTTGTCAGAACAGACACTCCATCCTGCGCCGTTGGGTACCCAAGGCTGTGCAGCACAGAGCGAGGCGGGGTTACAAAACCTGGAATGGAAGCTGAGCTGAAAGAAGAGGGGGTGGTGTGTGCACCCCATCCATCTGCAAACAGGGATGGCAGAGGGAGCAGACCCACGGGCTTGCTCAGCTTTGCCCAACCTGCATGCTGGAGTTCATGCTCAAGCCAGCCCTAGATACTCTATCCACCCCCTCTTCTACGGCATGATAAATTAGGAGCAAAACTTTCTCAGCTCAGTTTGTTCTCACAGTGCCATCCAACAGAGCACAAGCCTGTCTAATCAGAAGCTACAGTCCTTCACCATCTGTTTAGAGCCTAATTACAAATGCAGAAAAATAATGTGCTTTACAATTGCACCAGTAAATGCTGTAAATGATTTAAATGCATGCATATGTTCCCTGCAGAATTCAGCATGCATCTGCGACTTCTTCTTCTCCTCCTCACATTAGGCACACAAATCAAGGGAAAAAATACCCCGATCTGACGAACAGCGTGTCCCTAGGATGGTGATTTTTATCCCTTTTTTTTCCCCCTGCTGGAATGGCAAACGGGGCTTTTTTGTAACAATTCATTCAACAGCGTTTTCTTCGCTTCCATTTTAAAAACTGTTTATCACCGTCGTGTAAATATAGTACAAATTAGTCTATAAAACATGTAAAAGGAGAACAGCAGCCGGGCCAGCCTGCAGCTGGCTGGCAAGGTTTCAAAGCAGAGTTTTTTCCCTCTCTGGGGTGCCTGTGGAGGGGCAGGATCAGCTCAGCTTGTCTGCTGGAGACCACAGCCCTGCCCAAGACCCTGCTGAAGATCACAGAATCATAGAATGTCCAGTGTTTGGAGGATGCTCACTGCAAAATCACAGAGGTTGGCAAGCTTCAACCCTCTGCACGTAAGGATGTGTGAAGGGGAAAAAAAGGGCTAAAATACCTTGAAAATTCCTTTTCCATGGGCGTGGAGATGGCAGCATTTTGGAAGGGCAGGGGTCAGAGAGCATCACCTCATCTGTGGTGGGGTGAGAGCAGCAGTGCAGCCTGATAACCCTGCTGCCCATACAAATGAAGCTGCCCCAGGGTGATAATTAAGAGTGAGGTCATGTATGCTGGCCCCTGGCCAGCCATAGGGACCACCAGAGCTCATTAGGAGCTTCGTTGGGATGCCAGGGACAGGCAGCAATGCAGACACATGGGGTCGAGGCATGTACCACCATTCTAGCAGCCCTCACTCTCACAGTCAAGCTACCAAAGGCAATCCCATCTTATTTTATCATTTTATTTTGAAGACAGCTCTCAGATCATCAAATCCAGCCATTAACCCAGCACTGCCGGGGCATCACCAAAGCAAGTCCCTCACCACCACATCTCTATGTCTTTCTTCTTAGAGTATGGGGTTTTTTTTTTGCTTTAAAGCCCAAATACCTACACTTAAATTCTCCATCTCTAAAGCAGGGAGGAGTAGCTGGCACCACTAAGTTGAGAGAGAGGAGAAAACCAGGTTGGGCATAGGCTCAGTTAGTCTCCTCTGAGCAGAAGCTGCAACAGATGTGGCTCCTCCGCATTCTGCCCTCTCATCCAACCTCCTCCCTCCCATCTTGCTGGTGTTGCTTTGCCAGTTCACAGCTTTCATCTCCCCTTGGCCAGTTGGATGCATCACCAAAGGCCATGGGAGAAGGCAGCGTGGGGCAGGCGCAGCGTCCCAACCATGCCAGCCCTCCACAGAGCCAGGGGAGCGTAGGGGGCTCTCCAGCCTCTGGCTCATGGAGCTAGTGATGCTGGCCCCGAGTGCTGGGCAAACAGTGGCTCTGGCACTTGGCACTGCACGGGGATTCGTGCAGTCTTTGATAGAGTTTCACATCGTGGGCCCACGCTCATGAATTTTGCAGGCGCCCGCAACGCTCGTTTTGTGCCCACCAGCGAGATGAAGCCAAGCCCTGCAGAGAGCACACAGGCCAGCTCACCACCCGCTTTCCTTGGCTGAAAGATACTGAAAACATGACAACCCTGCTAGTCTGTCTCAAGCAGCTGAGAGGACAGTGTTAATTAAACAGATAAAATCCAGCAACGCCGTTTTGGACAGGCGATGAAGAGCCATGGACCCAACTCATCTCCCGAGATCCTTCCCAGGACTTTGGGTGTCCCAGGTCCAAACAAAGACCTGGGGAGCAATTCCCTTTCATAAAGCTCTGAGACCTAGCAGAAAACAAAACGTAATCTCCTGGCCCAATACCATGAAGAAGGGTTTTGACCCTGCAGCATCTCTGCTGGCTGTAGAGCATGGAGCATGCATCACTCCTCAACTGGAAACTGGGCTCAGTGGCTGCATTACTTAGCAAAACCACCTTGTTTAAAACCATCAAGAAACAAACCTTGGTTGCATTTCAACTAGTGCAACCAAAATACAGCCTCCTTCCTTCTGCCCATTTCCCTCATCCTTCTGCATTTTCTTACCTGAAGCTCGTCAGGATGAATACAGCCTCCTTCCTTCTGCCCATTCTGCATTTTCTTACCTGAAGCTCATCAGGATGGCCTACACAGAGCATCAGATGGTACTTTGTATATGGCAGCAAATACTTCCCTGCCATTATATGTGATAGCCTATAAATTACTCATCCCCTTTCACAGGGGAATCACCCACACACTCGTGGCTCAGGTTGCCTGTCAGTACCCACCCCTGTACTGCAGCACTCCCACCAGCAGTCCCTGCTCTATACCAGACCTGTTCCTCCCCCAGTTTGAACCTGTGTTGATTTTTCCCTTCATTTCTCTGACTTTCCATAGCCAAATACCAAAGACAAAGGATAAATTCCCTTTTCTCTTGCTTCCCCCTGCAGATGTATTAAGAATGCTCCCCACACCTACCTACAGATCATTTGGAGATATTAAATTAGAACAACCAGGCTCTCAAAGCAATTCTTTCAGGGCTTCTTCACCCAACTCTGGTCAGTGATTTCTCCCAGTTTACAACCCAGGCTGGGAGAGAAGGATGACCAGAAATAAAAATGCAAGCTAAAACTGCCTGCATTGGTGTGTCTCCAAGAAAAATCACTCCAGACACCAGCAGTTGCACAGTATCAAGAATTACCTTTATTAGCAGTGATACTGGATAATTAAGTTCTGCCTCAAGAGGTATTTGGTCTGTAATACAAGGGAGAGGATCAGCAGAGGTGCAAAGCAGACAGCAAATGAGCAGAGTCTCATCATACCTGGGGCCAAGGGAAAAAGTATCAGCTGAAGAGAGCAGACTGCACGTCAGGCTCTCAACTGGGAAGCATTGAAGGCCACAAAGGATCATTCTGGTTGCCAAAATAAGGTTGGCTTGGGCTTTCCAGCCACAACCAACTACCCCATTACTCCAGGGCCCATGGAGGTGATGGAAGCTTGATGAGCAGCACCCACCATCGCTACCTTCAGCCCTTGGGCTGCCCTTCAAGCTGAGGTGGACTTTCACCAAGGTCTACACTGGCCAAAGCAGCCCTTGGCCAAACACCTGGCAACCCAGATCAGTAGCTTCACCTCTCCTTGGTCACGAAGGAGATGCTGAGAAAGCACCCTGCTAACAGAGCATCTGCTTAGAACCCAGTCTTAAAGGAAGTATTTTCCAGTGATGGCATCCCTGAGGCATCAGCTCCAATGTCAAGTTATGGCATGACTCCCTTGCTTATCAGTTCACCTCTCCTAGACTTTAAATCCACCCAGTTTAAGAAAAGAAACAGAATAATTGTATTTAATCCAGGCTGTGTTTGCATATGGAAGTTTAAGTGACTTTAAAAGCCAGCCCTCTTTGGGTGGCCCATATTTTTCGGTGTCACAGTAGCCCACCCCTCTGAAAACATCTGGAGACCATATGCCACCTGTCTAGATAAATTAATTGGTTTTCTGCTGTGAACATCACACCAGAGCCTCTCTAATACTTCTCTCCATGGCTTTTATAGACCTTTCTCAAGGCAGATTAAAGGCACTTTAAAAACCCTAGATTAGGTCCATTTAGCATTTTGGATTCCTTAGGGTTCAGCTGCAGACTGAGAAGTTGGTGTCCACAAATGTCACACCACGGTTACAGAAGGAGAAATGGTCTCAAGGTGGCTACAACGTATGTGCTGGGAAGTGGATGGATGATCCCTCAATTCAAACTTCTCTGGAAAAATTCAAGCAAGTAGAAGTCCAAGTGAAGAGGTTTCCCTTATATATACATCTTTTGTGGCACGAACGTATGAAATTTCCCCTGAAACAATGCCCTGCTCCCTGGTGTGGCTGTTACCCACTCCAGAAGCTTCCCTGAAGGTGCTCCGGGGCTCAAGTTCCCTTTGGCTCAACACCACCATCACAGCTTGATGAAGGGAGATCCCCCCAAGACCACCAAAACACTGCTGGGTTAAACTAGTAAAAATAAGGCAGCAAAACTCAAGGTTCTGTCAAAAGCCCCACTTTCAGCTTAAAACCAGCATGGTGGCACCACCAAACCACCCCTTCCCACTGACACTGGGTGAGGGACATACTTCCCTGCCCCTCCAGTGCTTCCCTGGGGAGGACAAGGCTTTTTTGGTCCATTTTCTCTAGTCAAACTGGGGAGTGACAGACGTCCAATGGGACCTCTCAATCACAGGGGACACCCTTTCCCAGAAGGAAGACTTTCCCCCTGGGTGCAGCTCTCCCCTCTCAAGAGAGACAGCCTGCTCCAAAAGCAAGGCATGCCTGGCTTTTGGGAGAAAAAGAACCTAAAGAAGTGACAGCAGCACCGCAAACTGAGGACATCCTCTACACGAGGTGGACGATGAGAACGGAGCAGGCAGCCCCCACAGCCAACCCCAGCATGAGGTAAAACGTCATCACCACCCCTGCTGCCTCGGCCAGCTCTTTTGGCACAATCTTGGGACCATAGACCATGACCAGAGTCCCCAGGTAGCCGTTGCTGAGCCCCAGCAGCACCGTGAATACCACTGGGTAGACATCATGGTTGAAAACCACTGTCTGGATGTGAGCACGGGGCTGGTAGTTGCTGAGGATGAAGAGAGGGAGGAAGATGGTCCTGAGGAGGACAAAGGCAGGCAGCAGCTTGCTCTTGGGGCCAGGCACTTGGATCCAGGCAGTAATCTGCCTCCCGCACCAGTCAGCAAAGTTGTACAGGAGGAAACTGGTGAGAGGCGCAAAGTACTTGGTGCTCCACGGGCTTCCTGAGGACTTGCTGACCGACTCAATGCTGGAGGAGAGAGATGGGAAGATGATGATGGAGATGAAGAAGTTGTAGAAGAGGCAGAAGCCGAGGAGGGCAGTCTTCTGCAGGATGGGGCGGAGTGGGGGGATGCCAGTGCTTTTTGTGAGGAAGGAGCTATTCGTGGTGCTTCCTGGCTCTGCCTCGTCCTCTGCGGAGCTGTTGGCTGGCACAGTGGCCAGAGATGGGCTCTCCTCCTGGCTGCTCATGTAATACCTGGAAAAAAAAGAAGGAAGGAGATTATTAGCCAAGTGTACCCAGAGGGGAAACACAAACTATGATTTGGAGAGAGCAGAGGAGAAGCTGGCGATGCGGGGATGCCCGCTGGACCCAGAGAAAGCAGTTGCAGCAACCCCATCACATCTCCAGCTCCCACCTCATATGAAGAGGGGACCCTTGGGGACCTACCACCCCATCTTCCCCATCGCAGGGATCCCTTTACACCTCCGTGGTTCACAGCAAGGACCTACTGCATGTAGGCACTCAGGGGGCCAGGTGATTTTGGGGGTTGTAAGCACCAACAAGACCAACGGATCATGCACATCAGTGTGTGATGTTGCAGATACAGACAACCTACAGAGACCCATCTTGCTGGCTGCTTCTAGATTCCTGCTTTCTGCTGACTTCCTGCATTTTGGAAGCCCTGGTGTCACCTCAGCATCCCCTCCCCCCCACCCGGGGGTAGCTTTCCAGTAAACTCCCCACATGCTGGAGTGGACACCCGGTTTCAGTCTGTGGTTTCAGTCAGATGGGGAAGTGTGGCTGGTGGCAGCATGGAGCCAGAGAGCGTGGAGTGGGATGGTGGTGGTGGGGTGATGGGACAGGAACCAGCACAGAAAGCATCCCATGGGTCACCCCAGCGACCTCGCTCAGCATCAGTGGTAGCAAAACCCTCCCGACCCGTGCTCGTGGGATGCCCACGCACGCACCTGGAGTACTCCAGCCTGGGAAGGAGGAGGTAGACCACGAGGCAGATGACGATGAAGATGTCGGCGGTGAGGAAGTAGGCCAGGGCGCTGTCCGTGACATCAGCCGCCGCCCCCAGGTCCACCAGGGAGGCGACGGCGCTGATGGTGCCACCCATGGCCTGACCTGTGGGGGGGATCAGAGAGCTGGAGCTCAGGGCCTGCCTGACCGAGATGGGACCACGTGAGGGACATCGAGGTGTCAGAGAGCGACCTAGAGCACCTCCTGTGAGGAGGACTTTGATGTGGAGGGAGATCCCAGAAACAGCAGCATCCTTTTATTAACTCCTCCCGGCGGGCACAAATGCCCAGGGGAAGCAGCTCACTCCCCTGCTCCAGGGGCTGGTCCCAAAACCTGGCTCGGGGTGCAGCTGCACACACCTCCTCATCTCCATTTCCACACCTTGCTGGAACACAGCTAGTTGTGGAGCTGCACCACAGCCCAGGTCCCATCCTGTATCCCCTTTCAGCTCTGCACAAGGGTCAGGATGGGACCCAACCTGCTGGGTTTGCAAAGTGCCCTCCTCTACCCAAAGCCTAAACCTGGCTTTCCACCAGCACATGCAACCACCTCTCTTCTGCCCTCCCCCACATAGGAATTCAAGCCACCAACAACCATTATCCCACCTCAGGGACATGGTGACTTCTCCCACTGGGTTAAACTCATTAAAACACTCCTGTCTCGGCCTCAGGAAAAACTCCTCCATCTTGATTTCCCCCCCCCAAATCCCCTCTTGGTTTGTCAGCCGTTCCACAGCACATTTATAATGTGAACAAACCTCCAGGGAGCTCATCACTCACGGCTCCCAACGTGCCCCTCATCACTCACTCATGGGAATGCATGAAAATGCTGAACAAAAAGGAGGGGACGATGCCAAGCAGAAGATTCCTCCAGCTGCAACCAGAGGAGCTGAGGGATGTATCCCCTTCCCCCCCTTCTCTCTGCACAGAACAAATAACCCAGTCAAGCTGTCATGCTAGGTGGAGCTGCTCTGCAGGGTGGTCACCCCTGGGCAGGGACAGGGAAGGACCACTGCTCTCCTTGCCTCTGCTCAGCACTTTGGTTTATGGTTATTTACAGAAACGAAAGCACTGGCTCACATGATCGAGCATGCTTCTCCTTCAGCAACTTCCCTTTCTCTTTAAGGCAAAGTTAATCTTTTAAAATAAACCCCATGTGACAGAACAACAGATTGCAGGAGGGAAAAGAAAACCAACCACCCAACCACAGAAAACCCAAGAGTATGATCCCACTGGGAGAGTGTGGCTGGAGGACACCAACCTGAGATCAGAGCCTGCAAGTTCTTCATGGGGAAGCAGCTGCTCAGCCCAAAGATGCTGCTGGAGAAGATGGTTGAGGCGCTGTTGACGATGACCACACAGACCATGGTGAGAGCAAAGAAGCTGGTGGTCCAGGTAGAGGTGTCAACCTTCACCAGGACTGTGATCACCAGAAAGACGATGAGCATGACGAAAAGGGAGGACAGGATCCGGACGCTGGCAGGTACCCTGGGGACAAGGGGAAGGAGAGACTCCTGTATTTAAAGGTAGGATGTGAAGGTGCAATGCAGAAGACATCAAATCCTCTGCTGTGAGAACGATCAAAGTAAAGAAAGAAAGGTGGGGGGAGATGAGGAGTAAAAAGTAATGATTTTTCTCAGAAGCCTTTGATGTTAAATCTGCGATTCCAACTTTTACCATCAGTAGGACTCAGTCTATAAGCTCAACCAAGCTGTAAATACCCATTTACAATGTAAATACCTTTAACAGGACAAGAGGAAACAGCCTCAAGTTGTGTCAGAGATGTAGGTTGGACATGAGGAAAAACATTTTCCCCAAAAGGGCTGCCAAGGCCTGGCCCAGGCTGCCGAGGGCAGTGGTGGAGTCCCCATCCCTGGAGGGATTGAAAAGCCATGGAGATGTGGTGCTGAGGAACACGGTTTAGCAGTGGACTTGGCAATGCTGGGTTAACAGTTGGACCTAATGATCTTAAAGGTCTCCTCCAACCAAAACCATTCTAAATGATTCTAACCAATTCGATGATTTCTCCCAGAAATCAGGAGCCATCTCCATGGCTAGAGCAACATACAGCAGCAGCTGCCTGGGAAGTATGGCAGGCTGGGTGAAAGCAATCCCAGGCCTCTCACTACAAGATAATCAGTTGCCTGAGCACAGAGGTTGCTTATTACCCAACTGGGAGACTGGATAGACTGGCCTGGGGCAGGATGGAGGGGTGAGGGCAAGAGGGTGGGATCTAGGGATGAAGCACACAAACACATTTCTCTTTGCTCACGAACAGGAGTTTGATCTGGGATAAGGAACAACACAAACTAAGGGAGGTGGCTATTTTGAATATCAGTTAAACTTGCAACAAGGTCCATTTCTTAGCCCAGTTCAGCTGCTGGTAGAACTAGAGTAAGGCACTACTCCTGCCTGGATGAGCCCGGCTATTGTCAGCTAGTCTCCCAGTGACAACAATGGCATTTTTAAGAGGAAAGACCATTTACCAAGTAATTAACCAAGGAATTTGTTTACAGGGGTGCAACTCAAACCATCTCCAGGCATGGGTGCTGCTGGCAGGGTGCCTCACCCTGCTTCATCTCAGCTGACTGCAACTCAGGCAGGGACAGATGAGGGGATTTTTGGCTGGACAGGGAGCCTGAGCTCAAGATGCCTTATGTGCCTCATGGCTTTCCCCCAAGGGAAGGAGAGGCAAAGCAGGGCTGAATCTAAAGAAAGGCAGGAGGGACGTGGACAAAGTTGGGGAAAGACACAGTGAATGGACCCAAGAAAAGAGCAGCACTTACTTGTTGACGAGCAAGAAGTTTCCTATCAGGCACAGCACAGAGGGCACAGTTGAAGCAATGGAAATGTAGCTCTCAAAAAAGTCCTGCCAGGAAAAACAAAAAAAAGGTATTGGGAGGAACATCACAGGAATTTCAGGTCCTAAATATGACATGATACAGCAAGCACAGGGAGTTACAGTGTAGGTGTCCACCTTGTTGTGTTGTAGCACTTTGCAAAGCTGCTCAGGACAACAGGCAGTGGTAAAGGGCCCCCAGGGCTTTTTCATCCTGCAGCAACCCTGGGGTATTTCAGAAAACGAGGGACATAAGAAATTCAGAAGCAGAAATGATGAAGGAAATATCTGTCTTCCTGCTGCACTGATCCCATGGGACAGCACCCAAAAGGTGGAGGTCTGAATTTCTCCTGCTGGCTTCAGCATTGTGGTTAAACCCCTTGGATATTTTATCCTACTGGAGCTCTGTTGAGGGCTAGTTTTTACAAATCAGGATACACAAGCATTAATATTACTCACTAACGGCCTCAAAAGCCTAATAAACCTTTGTGTCCCTCTGCACCCAAAGCAACCAGATCATACCTGAAAATGTGTTTGAGCAAAAGCAGCTCAGGTAGGACATTATTTGCCCTCCTCGTTTCCCTCTCTGAGTGCATGAAACTCGTTGAGAAACTATATTGAGGCTCAACATGCATTTACTCCTGGGACTTGGAGATCATCCGAGCAAGTCGGCTGCAGCACCAGTCAATATTCTCCAGCCCACCTCGTGCAGAGGTCAGGCTGGGCACGCAGAAAGCAATAACCACACTGGAGACAGAGAGAGATTTCTTTGCTAAGACTGCAGCCAAACGCTAAAATTTCAATCCATTCTATGTACTACACTGTTGTCCTCCCCTTGAGGGGTTTAATCCCCTGTTTTTTTCTGTGGGCATCTCGGCCAGCAGGCAGGACCATGCTTGTGAAGGGGATAACCTATATACCCACCCCCATCACAATGGGCTTTCACTTTCTGCAGTCATCTAGCCACAGAGATGGGACCATGGGACATCCAAGCAGGAGAAGGCACCCGGCACATTTTCTCTGCACGTTACAGGGTTTTGGTTTTTTTTCCATCTTTTAATCAGTTTACAATCAAGTTTGTTAATTCTTCCCTATCAGGAGCTTTACTGTAAGCAACGGGAATTCTAATAATCACTCCTAGAGGTTCCATATAGATGGAGACATAAATGCCTGCACTTCCAGCATGGGCTTGGCAAAGCAGGAGGCTCAAAACCCTGCAGCCATACGACAAATTACGGGAGAAAAGACAAAGCAAAATGCAAAGCTGGCTGCTAAAACTAAGACTTATTTACCAGACTACTTAAAACGAACCCTCAAACCAGCCTGGGGATATTTAACATACTTCCAAGTTAATTTTCTTTTTATTTTGTGGAGGAAAATAGACTTCATAACACTTTCCACTAAGCAGAAGTGTACTTGAAGTAATCCAGCAGCACCCTGGGGAAACGTTCATTCATTCCCAGCAAACGTGCTCGTGCCAGCGGTGGGAAAAGAACAGGGAGAGTATTTAAGAAACTGGGAAGCCTGCACTGCACTAGGAAATGATACCCTGCCTTACCCACAGCCAAACCCTGCTGGAAAAGAAAAGCCAAGCAGAAGGGTTGCAATTGCTGTCATTTCTGTGAAAAAGAACAGCCCTCATGCTGTGTTTTTAAGGCAGCGGCAGAAGGGTGGGGGGCAAATTTCATCCATACCCAGATGAAGGGAAAGTATCAGGCTCCACACTCATTTCACTTCTTTGCTGCAAGGTGTTGAGCTTCAAGTCAGTGGGCTTGAGGGCACTCTCAGTAAATTTGACAATGACACCAAGATGAGTGATGCAGCTGAAATGCCTGAGGGATAGGATCCATGTAGAGGGACCTGGGCAGGCTTGAGAAGTGTGCCAGTGTGAACCTTCTGAGGTCCAACAAGGCCAAATGCGAGGTCCTGCACCTGGGTTAGGGCAACCCAGGGGTGAAGGGCTGGACACCAGCCCTGTGGAGAAGGAC